ATATTATATTTCATCACGTAGGTTAAAACGTATGAAAACAATTAATAATAAGTTCGAAAAGGAATTCTTAATTTCTTCGGACTAAACAGAAGTAAGCCACAAAAACTATATACATATACTACTAATAACTACTTGAAAAATCGTCAACCTCGAGGATATATCACAAAAGCGACACTAATTAACTTCACTTTTTATTAAATTCTTTATTACCTAATGCATCATTAATACTTTGAAGAAACAAGTGACTCACTTCCATAAATTCAGTTGTTGCAGAAAGATAGCATAAATTCGAGAAAATTTCAAGATTTAAGAGTTTAAAAAAAAATACTGTCTGTAAAAATCATCATTTTTTTTCTATCGTGCAATTTATACAGAAAGGAAGAGAAACTTGAAAGAATAAGAACAAAATAAGAAAAAAAAGGGCACAGACGGTAAATTTAACTTATGGCACTATTCACATTGTCTCGAGTGTTTCTCGAGTTGCCACGAAAATTTTCTAAATGATTCGTTCTATGTATATATTTCGTCGACCGTTAAAACGTAGCTCGTCCAAATCTATCGTTAACAAATAAGCATTGTTTCACCGCCGCGACAGCGGAAACGAATGGAAACGGGAAACAGGATGGAGAATCGCTCCATCCATTGTTGGCGCGTTGCTTTTAGCGGGGATTTCGTAGCCAAAAACACGAATAAATCCTCCGACAATTTGCGCATTGTCGCGCCGTTACTCGCGAAGGTTGGCGAACGTTTTGACATTCACGGGATTACCATACCGTTGCCATTTCTCTTCCCCGCTAATCGAATTTACGAACCAAACGAAACGAAACTGTTCGACAACTTCCGTAAATGCTTCGTGAATGATCGAACGCTGTCATCATCTTTTCTCTTCTTTTTTTTTTTATGCTATTTTTCTAAATAATAGCCTTGCTTGTCTTTTCATTCGTTAATACTCGATTTGATTGGACAATTTATTCAGTTAATTCGTTCAAATTGTACATTCAATTGGAGTAATTGAAACAACTAAGTAACTTTTCGTAGGAATTTTGTACGTTCAAGATTTTTGGGGGATTTAAATAATACTTTGTAAAACTGACAGATAGAGATTTTACCTGATTAATAATCCAGATAAATATTGCAATTTCTACATGTCAAAAAAAAAAAAAAA